CATATTTGCATTTTTTAAACCTTTCCATAGTAGGTAGAAAATAGGAATCATTTTTGCTTTAATTTGGATTTCTTTGTTTAGTAGTAAGGTCAAATAGTTTTACGATGCTTGCTTTTTATGATATTTTCTGCTCTGCTTTACACTTTGTCTTTTCTTTGTTTTAGACCCCAAAACAGCTTCTGAAACAGAAATGGATATTTGTGCTGAATGGGAGATCAAGACCATTACTAGTGCTTTGAAGACCTACCTGAGGTAGGGACTTTCCATTTGCTGGCAGTGTGCCAGCTTGTTATCAGGCAATCAGGAAGAAAGCAGTTTTATTTTCAGCCTCCAGAGAGCTGTTGGGTGGGTGTATGAGAGGTGGAAACAGCTTATGTGTGGGTACAATTAGCTCAGCTGGTCAGACCAATTGTAAGTTATCCATTCTTACAATGGGTTGCCATTGTGCAGTGGTGCCAGGAATGACTTAGGAAGCTCAGCTCTTTATGAGAAGTGACTGTGGTAATTAACCTTTAAGAGAACTTAAAATTTGGTATTCCTTGAAATCTCCTACTAATCTATTAAGAGAATAAAAAATACTGTGTCCCATTCTGTTGATATTGCAATCATATAACCTATTATTTTGTACATTGTAGATAGTGTATTTTGTTGGCATTGCTCCTTAAATGAGAATAAAAGAAACTCCCTTTGACTCCTTCAACTTAGATTTAAAAAACTGTACTTTACTAGAAAGAAGACTGTTTTCCATGTAAAAATATGTGGTATTACCACCATCTCTCTACTCTCTCCTGTTTAAGGGAGTGGGTGACTGATTATCTGCCTGTATCTGTTTCATAGATGGAAATTTATGGTAGACTTGAAGGGTAGGAATATTATAGTTCTTCATTGTAATTCTTCCTAAATAGGATGGTGGGGTCTAGTCTTGAAGAGAAAAACTGAAATCATGAATTTCATGAACATTTGTTCATGTTTTGTGATGATTATTTGACTTGAAAATAAAGGAAGGAAGCCACAGAAAGGGAAGTGATGGTTGAGGTTTGATTGGCTACTGCAGAATTGATGGGAAGCTCTTAAGTGAAGATGAAGATGCAATGCCAGTGATGACTGAGAGTTGAATTAGGGGACTCAATGAGAATAACATAAAATTTGAACCTACAATAATGTACATACAGTTTGTAGAGAAGCTCATTATTTGGTCTATCAGGAAAAATTGGTTTACAGTTAAATATACACACTAAGCATATTTATACCCCAAGTATTGTCTTTTACACAAAACTATTTCATGAAGTTTTGTATTTATTGATTACTTTTGCATGTTGACATTGATTAGATAATAAACAATGAGTGTAAGATCTATTTTTTTTAAAAAACAGGAAAATTTTCATTTTCTTTATGCCATGCCTAATATTGGGAGCTCTAGTCTTTTGGCATTCCTGAGCAACACTCCATAGTAAATTCACCACAAAAACACCTACAGAAGTCTCTTTTTGTGTTTCCAGATGAATTAATTTTAATAACAAACTCCTGTAAAGATGAGACTTTAAGCAAAGGTTATAACTGCAAATGTTTAGTTAGTTTTCTATTTCTCAGATATATCCTAAAATGGTCTTGTTGATTGGTGAGACACTGACTGAAAAGGAAATATCTTGGTTAGTGCTAGATATTTTGCATTAGCAATTTCCTGGTTATATCCATTCCCTTAAAGGAGAGAGAAAATGAAAATTTCAGGTGAAATCTCACAACTCTTTCAATAGGGAAACTAAGTTCAACTAAGTTTAGTAGTTGTTGTTTCCCGGTGATTGTTGTCTTTGAGAAATGTGCTATATATTGCCATTGGGTCCTAGTATCATATGCTGCTATTTAAAGAACATATGATTATGTTTTATTGAGCTAACTAGTGTATATCCTTTCATTCCAGAATGCTTCCAGGACCACTCATGATGTACCAGTTTCAAAGAAGTTTCATCAAAGCAGCAAGTAAGTTTTCTATTTTGTCACAGTTTTAAGGCGAAGAGAATAGATTTTTCTGTTTCAAAGAAGTCAGTATCCCAAAATAAATATTAGCTAACCTTTTGTATTCTACATATAAACTATCACTGCATTTTGCACCCATGAAACTGTCACAGAATAAAAGTGAAACCAAACCAGGATTGCTAAGGATCTTGCTACTGCATTGCATTCACAGAAGAGGTGAAAAGCTTAAGAGGTGGGTTTTTTTTTTTTTTTTTTGAGAGCTGGGGTGAAAAGAAGAGAATAAGCAAGTTTGCGTTTCTAATTTTGATCAGTGGAGTTCTAACTCCCTGAGTTTTTTTTTTTTCCAGCCCTTGAGTAGCATTTTGCAGAATGAATCAGACATTGCACATTACCTAAGTTGAGCTTTAGAAGTGTTTCCCTAAATACAACACCATTTATATAACTTCCTAGTCCTCTTTTCCATCATGGCTTCCATTTACAGCTTCTGATCATTCTTCAGCTGTATCATCCAGGTCCCTAGTGTCAAATTACTGGTATTAAAATACACAGGGATTAGGTGCAGGCTATCCTAAGTGGCCTGGAATCTGTCTACGTGGAGCAGGCCTCCTGTAAGGGGCAGTAAGATTCTCTAACATTTAAATCTGGCATAAGTCCCTACAGTGTTGTAATGTCTATTGCCTGTGCCTTGCCCAGCTTCCTTTAAGCCTTCAGAGTTTGTTCACCCTGGTCACTACTACTAATCTAATTTGGTAGTACTGATGTTCTTGTGGCTTTATTTACTCATAGTTGTCCCCTTCAAACAGGAAGGAAAAAGACATGGAGAAAGCTGGGAGTGAAGAGTGTTTATGTGATTTCTTTCTCAGAGAAATTCCAAGCCCATAGCAACCATTCTCTAATTAAACCACACATCACTCCTATAAATAGGTGTGGTGAGTACCATCAATCTATTTCCCTGAAAAATGGAGCCACTTACCCAAGTTTATAGGAGAGAACGTGACAGGCCACACTTTAGGTTTTAGGCTGAAAGAAAGAATTACATGTATTTTCTTCCACCAGTTCACTTGTCACAATGATTTGAAAATAACTGGGAATCTCCTTTGAATTCTTTGAGACTATCTTCAGGTGTTATTTTGATATTTGAAACCCTTGCAATGTTATTCATGTGTGATTTGTTTATCATTTGAAGAGTGCATAAAGTTCTTTCCTTCCTTGAAATGAAGCCATCACTCTGCTCCCAAGTTTGTTCCTGCTCTGAGTGCACTTGACTGGCTCCATTTCCTCATGTCATCATTCTGGCTTGCATTTCTTGACAGACGTCATTTGGATGAACTCTGTTACAGAAAACACCATTTAAAGCTCTTCTAAGTCTAGTCTTACTCATCATGAGTGCACAGAACAGCATCTGAAACTTTTGAAAAAGACTCATTTTGCTAGTGCCCAACCTTTGGTTTCCTTTGATTTTTTTGTCTTGTAAACCGAGTTAACTGTAAAAATTCTCAAATACCTCTCTCCTTCCTTTGCAGAGCTGGAGAACCAGGAATCTCGGGTCTCTGAAATCCACAGCCTTGTTCATCGGCTTCCAGAGAAAAATAGGCAGATGTTACAGCTTCTTATGAACCACTTAGCAAAGTAGGTTTAACACTGATTGCTGGTTCTTTTTTCACCTTAGAAAGTTATTAGTATTAAAAGTAGTGTGGGTTTTGTTTATGGTTTCCTCTCCCACTGTTGTATTCAGGATACTGTAAGCTTAGAGAAATGTGTGAAATGTTGGCTGCTTCAATTAACAGTGACAAATGCCAGATGGTTTGCAGAGGAGACTGGGGAAGTGCCCAAGCCATCAGCTGAATTTTCAGGGTAAACAGGAGTTTGTTGTCCATGATACAGGCCACCAAACAGAGTTTTGAGAGGTTATATATTCTTGTGGTGGTGAAGGCACATAGGGATATGTTGTGGGTTTATAGATTTTGGGTTTGGAGTCAAAAAAGCTGGATTCTATAGTTGATTAATCTTTACAAACCACTTAACCAGCTCTAGATTTCCCTTGCTGCACCAGTCATTTTATGTGTGTAAATATTCTCACCATCCATGGATTTTGATGAATATTCTTAACAAGAGTGGAGCAGTAGGACAGACAGTGTTAACAGTTCACCTGAATGGTAAAACCCTATGGCCTGCTGAACTGACATGTTATAATTGGTTCTTACCCATAAATTGTTCATGCCACCAAGTCACTGGGGTAAATTGCTACTTTGCTGAGGGAGATGATGATTTGCTTTCATGTTTCCACCAAGCACATGACAATTACCTTTTGGAAAGAGAGAGGAAGAGCAAGAGAGTGCAACCATAAACATTTCCATATATCTTAATTAATGAAGGGACAAGCATGTTTTGCATGTTGGTGAGAAGCAATTAGTTTGAGGCAAGGGTAGCTCTATTATCAGTCATTTTTTTTTCTCACCATGGCATGGCAAAGAATGCACAAGTTCTCAAGGAAAGTGCTCAAAATAGTCAGAGTCCTGACAAAATGCATTTAAAATGTTCAAAATAAAGGGAAGTGCGCTTTAAAAATAACTCCAGATGCTCTGAGAGGGCAGGTCAGTGCCTGTTCCATGTAATCTAGTTAGGCATTCCTTAAACCAAAAAGCTAGTTGAGATCTTAGTTGTAGAACTTTATACCCTTGTGGGACCTGCGCCAAAAACAGAGGAATCTCCAAGTACACTCCACCTAAGTATGCATGGGGACGTTCATGATGCTTTATTATAACTGGGCCCTGTGGAGACATCAAGCTGCTGGGAGCTACTGCAGAAGAGATGGGAACCAATTGAAAGCTGTCAGTCTTTTCAAGCTGTAACATTGTAATGCAAGCATAATTGGACTGAGAAAGACCAAGAGTAAATGGTGATGCTGCAGAACCAGAATGTATGTTAGGAACCTTAAAAATAATAATAATAATGTCAATGGATTTTGAACACTTAGGCTTATAAATGTCCCCTCTCTTGGTAGATGGTTCACTTTCTCCCTTTTTTCCCATTCTGTCCTCTTCCAGCCCCATTAGGTCCAGCCCATGTTTGTTCCTACCCCAAAGCATAGTAGTACTTGAGTATGCAAGTTATGGCTGTGACCTTGGCTTTTTTTTTTTTTTTTAGCAATTTAAATTTTTTGGTTGCTAGAGGGTTTTTCTTTCCCCAAGGAATTTCTGGAACATTGTATCTTGTCTTTCATACTTGAATGATTTTCTTTGGTTTTATGGTATTTCTTTGTCCATTATTCATCAAAATGCTTACAATGTAGAAAAGTGCTCATGTTCATAGTGTGAGTTGTTGAGAGCTGGTGTCAGAACACAGATTCAAGTTATCTACTTTCCATGTTTTCTTCCCTTGAGCCTCTAAGTTCAAAATGCCTTGGAGAAGAGGATATAAGTGAGTGCTGCTGAATCCAGTGAGAAGTATTCAAGTTTGAAGAAACTCTTTGGCACTCAAAAAAGTTCTAAGATTCTACTTAAACCCAATATTCTCATTTACAGCTCTGTCCTATTTTAAAATCAAACATTAAGGGAAAATTAACTTGGAATAAGGAGTCTGTTTCATTCCAGTTTTCTCAGGTTCAGACTTACCCTAGGATATGCCTGAGCTATTGTTTCTTGATCCACTTACTTAATGGTCAGCTTCCTTCCTAAGTTTTGGTTTCAGGACTGATTCTGCTAGTGTTTCCTTCTCTCATTACCTGCTGTGTTTGTCCTGTGCATATCGGGCAACTGGTTCAAAAGGAAGGTATTTTGTGTTGTATATTTTTTAAATTATCCTTTTGGAACACTTCAAGATTGATTTCTCCTAAATGTAGAGAAAGAGTTAAGATATTTTATATTAATTCCAAAAAGAAATGCATTCAGAGTGAGAAAGAGTCTTGTGGGGGGGAAGGATAAAAACTCCAAACCTCCAAAGCAAATTATTTACCAGGATGCATCCAAATCACAAAACTCTTGGTTGGTTTCAGACCTCAGAATGAACATAAAAATTATAGGCAACTATGCACATCTTTTTGTTGTTTTAGCTTAAATCTACTATGATAATTAAATGTTTTCTATTTGGATCTAGTATACAGCCTGGAGTCATGTGCCTCCTTAGACTCAGCTGGAGTGTTTGTTTACATTGACATTGCTGGGTCCCACCAGGTCTAACTCAGACTGCCTGAGAATATGCATCTTTGGTTTATTTCGTAGGTATTTATGATACAAATACTTTTTAAGAACCACTGGCCCAGAGAATGGACGCTGTGGAGGGATTGTCTAGGAGAAGGAAATAGTGTTAAGACTGAATTAGGGTTTAGGTGGGTGATAGAGACAGGAAGAAGAAACTCAAGGCAGTGAGCTCAAAAAACATTTTATTTTCATAACTAAATTACCAATAAAATAAAATAAATCTGGTTTTGATTTCCCATGTCTTTAAAATACCTCTGCATTAAATTGATTTTTCAGCAAATGACTTTGTCATAAAAGTCATGCATAAAGCATTTTTGGTAGTACAAAAACTGTCCCTAGCTAACTCTGAAACCTAGTGGAAATCATTCAACCTCTTTAAGTATCAGTGTTTTGAATTCCCTTCCTTTAATGTGATTCTGTGTTTTCATCAGGTAGAAAGTGGGGAAAACACGAAAACATTTCCCAATCTTATAATTGCAGAAGAAATGAGAGTAGATGAGTAATAAAGACTAATTTCATGGTAGTTCAGATGTTTACATATCATGATGACTTTAAGTATGTTGTATATCCTCTCACATACCATTCATACTGGCTCATTGTAACTTTATTACAGTGTTTATGCTGCTCTGGAGAGTTTCAAAGGACTCACTATACATCAGGAGTGTCTATTAAAAATACCTTTTCACAGCTGGTTTTCCCAAACACTTACTGAGAAATAAATCTTAGTCTCTTTTCTTTGTTGAAGTAACTATTCCTTTGTTGTTAGGGTGATGTTGGAAAGACAGGGTCTTGCTGCCTTTCCAAAGAGGTATTACATTTTTTAGGATTCTTTGGGTTGCAACAAACAGAAAATACAATTCAGAATGGCTTACACAGTAAGGGAATCTGTGATCTCATTACATAAAATGAGTCCTGAGGGTTGGTTAAATTTCCGCTCAAGAAATACTGCAATTATTTCATGGTCCTGCTCATAGTCAATCTGTGTTGGACCTCTTGGGGTAATCAACTGTTACACCATATCCTTGCATATAAGTGATTGAACAGAGGCAGAAAAGACATTATTTCTTTTTGGGGTCTCTTTTTAAGAGCTATGATGCTTTTTTTCAGACCTTTTCCAGAAGACTTACCATCATATATTTCTGGTCTGAATCAATTATTGGCAAGGGGAGTGGGTATAAAAGCTCTGTTTTATACCAGGGTTCTCAGTAGGCAGCTCAAAGTACCCCCTAGTCTCGCTGAAATATTTTTTCAGAGAGTTTTGTTTGTTTGTTTAGATTTTATTTATTTATTTTTGCATAGAAGAACTGGAGTATAGGCCAGAGGTGGGGTGAGGGGGGGAGGTGAGAGGATTCACCAGAGACAGAGTGCAGAGCAAAACAGGCAGAGTTACTGAAATACACTGCTGAGGGGAACAGCGGTCTAGACAAGAAGTCTGCTGTACCCTGTGGGTCAGCTCCCTGGCCTGGATCAACCTCAGGCTCTCACCATGGTAGCCTTGAGATTTAACCCCTCAGCCTCCTGGGAGGCCCCATTTCTTAAAGAGTTTTAGGTCTATTGAATCACCTTGATTAGCATGATGTACTCACTCAATGAAAACATGTGGTGGGAGGAAAGGCCAGTTTGGGAGGGGATGTGATCACATCTGCAGTAAGGGCATGGGCACATTAAAATGACAAGATTTAGGGGAAAGGATGAAAGATGACATAAAAAAGACAAAATCAACTTAGATCCCATTGTCACTTCCTGATTTCTTATTTTTTTTCATAATCCAGTTGTCGGATCTTCTTTGGGTCATCTGTTACCTATTGTGACTTTCCAAAAAGGACAAAATTCTATAGATTGCAGGTATCATGAAGGAATATTGTGGGGGCAACTGCTGGGTGTAGAAGTGATGCTATCTAAGTTTTTAGACTCACTTGTCTCAAGTTCTCAAGGATTGAGCATCAGAACTTGGCTCTTTTCTCCTTCATGTGATGAGTCTGAGTACTTGCAGGTATACTTGAAAATCAAGAAGGACATTTTCATATTTCCTTAGTGATCTAGAAGCAGAGTGAATTGGGTTCATGTACAAATGCCTGTGGTTATGAAGAAATTCATTGCCTGGCCTTGGCATCAAGGGGTATGGGCTCTGGTGGGAAGTAAACATGGATGCTTAGCACTAACCTATATCTTATAGGTAATATAATAGGCCTTCATCCATTTTAAGTCTAGAAGATTTGGCTTAGTGAAGAACTGGGGAACACATGAAAAGAGCTAGTTATTTCCTTGCCATTGAATAGTCCAAATAAAATAACTGTGGAATTTTACAAAGCATATTTAAAAGAAATCAGCGCTTTTGAAACAGTAACTTTCTAAGATGGAAAACTCCTGTGAGCTTCTCTGGCAACCTTCCCTCAGCCATACACCCTGGCTCATGAACCTTTCTTCTCT